TCCCAGTTATGGTCCTGCTAAATGGCAAGAACTTTTCCAGACGCTGCGCAGATTTGTACTTACATGCATATTTGTTTAACTATGTGCATATTTGCTTAAACTAAGTGCAAGTTTCTTTATGTTACCTACAGAATTGTAATTGAAAAAATATTATACCAATAATTTTGAAATAAATATACACAAGGAATCAGTTATACTGATTGAAATATATTATTAATATATCGCTCATGGGCTGCAATAGTGGCACAATTAAAAAAGCACGCATTTTGGACTAAGAACAGGTGTAAGTAGAAAATACACACTCTTTTCATCAGCAATACTAGCACAACTCATAATTCAACTTGAACGTAATCTTCGTTTAAGCAAACTAAAGCATTTTTTATGCATTTACCTTAGCAATGAAAACTTTAAACACACTTATCTCAAAACATGATTTTCTAAGTTGTACCGCTATTGCAGCCGATGAGCGAAATTATGATTGACATAATTATCGTGTTTCTGCAAAAAAAAAATTCTATTTTAAGAAAAGAACGCTTCCAATCAAATCGCAGCAAAGAAAATTGACATAAGAGGAGAAGAGAATTTGTTAATTTTCGTAGAATTTGTAATAGAATAGACAGGAGAAGTTACACATTTTTAACTTATGGCAAGAATTAAAGACGGGATTTAGTTAATAAGTTTGTAAAGACCATCGAATATTTTGGGTTAGTGAAAAATAGCTTATATCATTAACAGTAAAGCTGTAAGTAATTCATTGAATATTTTTTAAAAAATAGTTCAGTTGTTACAAAAAGTACTTTTTCATTTAATTACTAATTGGTTTTTTGTTTCTGAGTTAAATTGTAAAAAAACACCTAAAGATTTCGTTTCTCGACAAACATTTTAAATACGAATATTTCTTCTGGTATCAAGTGTAGAATGTCATATATCCAAATTTTCCTATATCTTTTTAAATAATTTCTGAGATACGACGCATATATGCGTTTTAAGAAAACAACTGAAATATCTAATTATAATTCAATAGAGAACTATAATTCATACCATCTGTTACATAGTTTTTATCATTTAAAAAAGTAGCTCTTATTTTACTTAAGGTAGGAAAGTAAGTTTTGCATTGCAAATTAACACTGATTATTGATTAGTGTTATCAAACTAGTTTTGACGATTAAAAACTTCACACGCTTTCGTTACTAAATCATTCGAAACTTGACTAATAAGTTTTGTTCTACAATGGCACAGTTAAAAAATACCCTAAAAATTTTAAAAGTTTTTTTAAAAAAAATAAATTATTATGATATTTTATATAAGTTGTTATTAAACTATTTCTATTATACGGCGATAATTCAATGCAACTATTGGGCCAAAAATTCTTCTTAAATTCAAAAGTTGTCCAAGAATAAATGGATTAACTTTTTCTAGATGGCAGCACATCGCAATGTTCAGATAAGTGTGAAAGAAAAAATAACATACTATCATCTATTTTATTATTTTTTAAATTATATTTTAATTAATTAATTATTTATATCTCCAAAGTATTAAAATCCATTTTAATATGCCATGAGAAATTACTATAGTTAAAGTTCTGCTGGATGAATTTTCCGTTTCATTTAGTGCATGAAGACCCAAAAAGTGCAAAGAAAAAATTTTGCAATGCTTTTCACCATTCTGTCAATACTAGTCTTTTATTTTTTATAGTGTAATTTACAGGTTTGGAGAGGCATCTAGTTTAGTTTCGGAATTGTTCTTAGTGTAAGCTGAAAAGTATAAAATAATCTGAATTTTAGTTTCAGTTCACACAAATGAAAAAGAAGAACTGTTACAAGTATTGACAATACTTATCAGAAGAACAGAATCTGTGGCATTGATCTTTTTCATTTTTATTCAGTATAATGTTCTAAGGATATATATATATATATATTTANTATATATATATATATATATAAATTTGTTATACTGTAAGAAATTCCGCATCAAATTGTGGTATGAAGTACCGGCACTTTGGATGCATCTTGCGTAAAAACTTACGGTACTTAACGCTGTAAAATTTACGGTATAGCAGATTTTATGTTTTGAAACATGTTCTGGTAAAAATGGATTTTGATTTAAAAAGTACCGGCACCTTGAGAGCCGGTACCTTATACTGTTATTTGATTCGGAATTTACTTAAATAATTTCTTAATAATAACAAATAAAGTAAATTTTATAAATGCAATAAACGGTTTCATATACCATTGGCTAAAATAAGTCCTGTTTCTTGGAACCCCAGTGCTCTTATTGGGAACCGCCGCTACCTTAGAGCATGGCATATAAATCATTTAATCTGTTAAATTTATTTTTCAGTATTGTATTTATTACTAAATATGTGGTAATAAGGATTCTAATTTTGAAAAGCAGAATTTCTGGTAAAGCGTTACCAATGATCAGAAAAATTACCAAATAAATGGTTTAAATATGGAATATTTTAGTTTTATTAACCAGAATAATGCTTATTTTTACTAGAAATTTTAAGGTAATTTTACCATAATTGTTTTCTTCGTGTAGAAGGCTCTAATATAACAAAGAATTGATGAATAATTTCTTTAATCCTTGTTAGTACGCATTGCAAGGAAAGCAATGCAAAATTTTCTAAATTTTTCTCTTTTCGTTTTCTTTTTATTTGTTTGGTAGGGACATACAAAGGAAGTGTGCTTAATTTTATTAAATGCGTTTTAATTAACACTCAACGAAAATACACATTATGCTGCAAACAGTTTTATGGAAGGAGTACTAAGTATAGAAGAGAATAGAAGAAGTCCATGTGTTCTTTGCTAAATTTTTTGCAATGACATAATTTAAAAGAAAGATGTGTTAGCTACTAAAAAAGTTTAAGGAATCCGTGTTTTCTTGTTATACTCCAGTCTTTTTCCTTTTTTTAAAATATTTTTCACAGTGAGAGATGAGAGTGGATATTTTCAGACTATCTCAATAATTTAAAATTGAGCTAAAGCGCCTTTCTAAATTATAATGGTATAAAATCATATTAAGGAAAACTGATCTAATTCACAGTTAAAAAAATAAAGCAAAATTTTATTCGTCTACGTAAAGCATATTTTGTATACAAAATGAAAAACAACTACATTGTGACTGCAAACATATTTATAAAGACATTATATAAATTGGAACCATGGTGATTCAGGGGATAAAGCGTTCCTTCTTGCAATGCAAATACAGGTTACTTCCAGCCAACGCCCTCCACGAAGGCAAAATATTTCTCCCAACGCTTGATCCAGGAGTTTCTTTGTCTTCTGGATTCGGCTCAGAATTATAAAGCTATGAAGTTGAACATTTGTGGTCGTAAACCCAAAATTGAGTCTACTGTTCAACGACGTTTATAAAATTATAAAATGAAATAAAATATGTAACTGAATCTAAAATCAATGTTTGATAGGATTTAATGCTATCCAAAAAATAAATACAATAAACTAGTTTGAATTTATGATGCTATGATACATAAAATTTAAAAACAAAACATTTTAATAAATATAAATACAATATAATAAATATTATACCTTAAATATATATATAGCATAAGCCTCCAAACCAAATGATCTTTCATATTACTAACATGATTATTTATTATTAGTTAGTTCATATTAATTAGTAGAACAATTTATATTAGTTGAAGTTGAAAACAAGATGGATTTTTTTGTCTTATATAAATAACTTAAATACTTAATAATCTGAGCTAATATTGCATCATTTATTTTAATCTATTGCATTGATCTATCAGAAATAATGCAAGAAATAGGTTACAAAATTATGAATTCAAGATATAAAATTTAATGATAATCTAATAATTTTTTGTACTACTGTCACCATTTCATTGCTTGTTTAAACAATTTAATTATGCATTTGTGTATGATATGATGATAAGCAATATTTACTGAAAAAAGAAAATTATAGTACAGATGGAAAAGATCCATGAAAATTCCGTTATTTGAAATAAAATATGAACTTAATAATTATTCAGTTGTTAACTTTCGATTTTACGAAAAGAAAATTCAAAAATAATTCAAATAATGATTCAAAAATAATTCAAAATTCAAAAATAATTAAAGTAACTAAAACTGTAAATTACCACATCAAAAACGATTCTATACTCTTAGGATTAAAAATAATTTTTAACACTTTTTGTTAATTATTTTATAATAATCCTATAAGAGAAAAGGAGAAAATATCATTCTATTATAAAAAAATAGCTATGATAAAACAATTTTTTCGCATCATCATGGTTAAAAAATATACACTCTAACATTAATATGCTCTTCTTTTGTTCTCTTGTCACCCTTTCATTGCCTGCTTAAGCAATTAAATCATATTTTTTTGCATCATACATGCATTTCAAATATTTATTAACAAAAAGAAATTTAATTTACTAAGTGCAAGAATGTATAAAAATTCTTTCGTTATAAACAAAAATAAGAATTTAAAAATTATTTACATTTAAACTTTGAATTATGCGTAATGTCCTTATAATCCAAATGAAACTATAATATGAATCACTTCTTAAGATTTAAGGTAATTTTTAATACTATTTGTCAAATATTTTTAAATAATCTTATAAAAAAGGGCAATAAAATTATTTTATTATAAAAGACAATTAACTATAACACAAAATTTTTTTTTACAAAATAATGCTTTAAAAATATACACTTTGAAATCAATGTGTTCATCTTTTGTAATAATGTCTCCCTGCCATTGCATGTTTAAGCAATTTAATCATACTTTTGTGCATCATATATTTGCATTATTTAATGAAATACAAAAAGGCTCTTACAAAATGAAGCAATGTATAAAAATTCTTTTGTTTTATGCAAAAATAAGAACTTAAAAATTATTTACATTTCAACTTTGAATTTTACGTAAAATTCTTATAATCTAATTAATAATTTGTTGATACTATATATTACCCCAACACAAAAAAAATTATATTCTTAGGCATTAAGATATTTTTTAATCTATTTGTCAAATATTTTGTAATAATCGTTCAAGAGAAAAAGGAAAATAGTATGATTTTATAATGAAAGAAATTAACTATACAACAATTCTTTTTACAAAATAATGTATTAAAAATATACACTATGAAATCAATGCGTTTATCTTTTGTAATAATGTCGCCCTGTCATTTCATGTTTAAGCAATTCAATCATACTTTTGTGCATCATATATTTGCAATATTTATTGAAATAAAAAGAAATTGTCTTTGAAAATGAAAAGAATGCATAAAAATTCTTTTGTTTAAGACAAAAATATGAATTTGATAATTATCTAGATTTTAACTATTGATTCATCAAAAACCCTTGAAATAAAAATAATATTTAATAGAAACCATAAACTACCCAATCAAAATTTTTTTTATATTTTTAAGAATAAAAAGAACTTTTAATACTACTTGTCAATTCCATTCAATTAATCCTGGGAGAAAAAAATAAAACAAATATAATTTTACAATAAAAGACAATTGACTATGAGAAATTTTTTTTTACAATACAGTGTTTCAAAAATATGTACTACAGAAGTAATGTGTTCATATTTTGTACTAATAACGTCATTTCATTGTATGTTTAAGCAATTTAATTATACATTTGTGCTTTATACATTTGCAGTAATTACTGAAATAAAAAAATAGATTTAACACTAACGTAATCACAACTATATACAATTTTCTAAATTTGTAAAAGTTCTCCTGCATGTTTGAGTTTTAGGACACTTTAGGTAATTTAATATTTTTTGAAATCCAGTCAACTGTAAATGATACTCTGTGATATATTCCAGGCTGCCTCCATTGAGCACAGCCAAATCCAGCTGATATGATGCCCGCTAATGTCCATCTTCCATCCAAATAAACTATTAAAGGTCCTCCAGAATCTCCCTATTATAAAGAAATCACAATTAACACTTTCATCTAATCAGGAAATGAATTCAATTTACTGAAAACAAAAGTGATAAAGAAGTAAATTAACAATTAAAACATTGAATCAAAATGAAAAAGCACCTAAAGCTGCTAAAACCAAATTTGCTTTATATTAATTTAGATATTCAAATAAACAATAAAAGCAGGAAAAAGTAATATAAAGCAATAAAAAAAATATGTGTTTGCAAGACAGCACTAGGCATTGTCAGTTTCAGGTTTGGCTTTTCCACTGACAACAGAAAGGCTCCTGCGTGTTTGTAGGCAGTGTGTACCCTGAAGAAGTGTGTCTTGCAAACACACATTTCTTTTATTTTATTGCTTTTTATTACTTTTTCCTGCTTTTATTGTCTGTTTGAATATCTAAATTAACACTGCTATTAATGTAGCACAGCTGTATATACTTTTAAGGATTGTATGATATATAAAATGTTAGAATTGCAGGTTTTATATGTTTCACCAGACATAAGTGATAAGTGTTTCGACGGTAGGTGGCAGTATATATGCTTAAAAAAATTTAGGTAAAAGAGTGATAAGAGTCCTTGCATCTCAATGTGACAGTGTACAGCAACGAAATGATTCTCCACGTAGCAAAAATTGTGATTATAAATTTGATACATAAACGTGTCCCTTTCATTTAATGAGATCCCGCTATGATCATTAATACCAAATAAGGGAATCAAGTTGAGGTTTTTTTAAAATTCATTTCTTTTTTATAACCGTCGTTGAACAGCTGACGCAATTTTTGGGTTCACGACTACTAATGTTCAACTCCGTAGCCTTGTAATTTTGACCCAATCTAGAAGACAAGGGACCTCCCGGATCAAGAATTGGGAGAAATATGCCTTCGTGGAGGACTTTTTGATGGAAAGACCACGAAAGCTTCCTACAGTTAGCCTGACGGACAGGGATCCATGATCCGTCTACCGCTGAGGATATTTCCCGTCAGCACTGTGGTCGGAGCAAGCCGGATGCGTATTTCGAATCGAACAGCCATCGCTGGGATTCAAGCCCGGTTCACCTCATTGGAAGGCGAACGCTCTATCCCCTGAGCCATCGTGGCTCAAGGTGAGTTATTTATCTTTTAAATAGTTTTGAAGCGAAGTTTTGATTTTTTTTCCAGGACCAATTATTTTCAGTAAAATGAAAATGATCATATTATGAGCACTTGAAGAGTCCTTATATGCTAACTTTAAAGAAGAAAAAACCCTTCTACTTAGTAAAAACCAGTTACCATGTCGAAAGCAGAAGTACCCAAATCTAAACCCATAACAAAAATAATAACAAATAACTCAACTGTCCTTCAGTAATCAACACTATCTGCTCCCTATTTTTTCTGGCTACGGAACCCTTAATGATTGATCTTCTTTTGGTGATTGATTTTTAAAAAAATAAAGTTCATTAGCAATTTCCAAAAATTGTCTGAATAATAATAATAGTCTTAAGACAAGAAGTGATGTTAGGCAGTTTAATTCATAGGTCAATAAGAAGCTTCTAATCTAGTTCTGATTTCGTTTTTGTTGTTATGTATAAACTGAAACTGATTGAAATAAGGTGAATTATCGTTTGAATTTAAATAAAAACAAAAAAGAACCATTACAAATATTGATTTATAATATTGATTATTTTTGATTACTTAATTAATTTTGTCATCGTTTTATCAGTAATAGTCTTAAGAGTAGGAATTATGTTTGACAGTTTAATTCACAGGTCAAGTACAAACATCTAATCTAGCTCCAAATTTGTTTTTGCTATAATACTTAAACTGACAATGATTGAAATAAGCTAAATTATTGTTTTCATTTAAATAAAAAAACCGTTCTAAACATTGAGAATGATTATCAGAGAAATAAATTCTTTTTTGATGAATTGGGTTATTTTCTTTTGAACGGAAAAGTTTAATGGGAAATACTAGTGAAATTATTATTATTTTTAAATAATACAATCTTTTTCGTTGACAGTTTGCTTAAACAGTTTCATAAAAATAACCGTCGTTTAATTTTTATTTTATTCACAGAGCTTTCAACTTTAATCCATTATTAATATTAAATTGAATAAATATGAATTTTCAAAGAGTTAAAATTGTCAATAACCGTCTCAAATTAGCAAATTAGCGTAACTTAAAATTTTATCAACACGAAGTGTTTACTTCAATTGAATTGCTAATATTTTATACATGTTTTCGCCTTCAGAACACCTGACAATTACAAAAAAATAAAATTAATGACAAATATACATCAGATAGTTAATAAAAAAAAATCATTTAAATGTTGCTTTTACGCTCCTTTGGCCCAAAAAGGATGAATACATTTCTAATTCACTTCAAGTTTTAGAATGGTTTAAAATTTTTGGCCTTCACATTATTTGGAAACTATTTCGTATGCTATAAAATTCAAGTAAATCTAACTTAGAAATGGTTTACAATGAAGATATTTCTAACCGTAACTTGCGAACTAAATTGAAATTTAGACTTTGAGACTAGAATCTGAAATATATATTTTTTTATCTTCTAGTTTCTTTTTCTTATTTATAAAAACTTGTATTTTTTTAAAAATGTAAGGTTTTGATTTTTCTGCGTATGAAAAAAAATATTTGGTAGAACAATTGAGATAATAAAGTATCGATGTTAAGATAAGTTAAGAAAATAAAGTATTGGTCAAATGTTCGTCTGCCATATAGGTGACCTGGGCTAGATACCCGGCTGATGCAATTAATATAGGTGAGATAATTTTTTTTTGCGAATTAAAGTAACAATATTTTTGGTAATTAATACTCAGTATATTATTTAAAACTCAAATACGTATCTTGTGCCTTTATTATGAAAGTGAAAATGCGCCTGTGATTGTTTGTTGAAAAATTATTTTTTTTCTCTACTTTAAAATACGATAATTTTCCATTTTTCTGACAGAAAATATGGCTTTCTCTCATAACAATAACGTTCTAGTTAAAACAATTTGAGAGCTAATTTAGCTTAACTCTTATCTAAACTATTTGAATGAAAAATATACATAATTTCATCTAAATGAAAATTTGATCTACCAGAGCAAATCACGTTGAGGAAATATTATTTGCAACTTTGGTTTCTATAACATTCAGCTGATATTTTCAAGGAGTTTAGATTGGCACTATTATCAACGGTTTTGGTTTTAGAATACGTGTAAACACATTATGTGAGAATTTTATTCTGTGAAATTTTTAGATATGAGAAGAAATATGCTTAGAATAATTTCAGTCAGAATAAAAATTAGAAGATTAGACGGCAATGTTGTTCCTTTTTAACCTGCATGTAAATTATGTTTGTTTGAATTAATATTCATTTGGTAATTATCATTAGAATTAAAATATTATAATTTACCAAATCATGATCTCTGTGTAAATGAAACTAGTTCATTGATATCAAATTAAATCAGTTATACAGACTTTTCAAATTAGGAAAAGCAGTATATAGATAAAAAATAATTATTTGAATTGTTTTCGGTTAGTAAAATACGATTCTTTTAAAATTAATTTCGAAATCTTTGCAAAAATATGAATATTTTTATGATATTGTATTGTGACCAGAGTATGAAGCATTTTATCATAATCATTTCAAGTTTACAAAACGCAAATATTTTTTTTAAATATTATGTACTTGAATCTACATGATTATAAAAATAAGTATTTAAATAAAAATTTTTTTTATTGCTCTCTGGAAATTCTTATTATCAGAGGTAATTATTGCTTTTATTTATCATTTACTTCAGATAGAAGCCTTTTAAGCATATGAGAGCAAGATTCTAGAGTATACGTTGTGGAAACACACTTTGGTTATTTTATTTGTTTTTTTTGGTTATTATTAAGTGATTATTCACTCTGAGAATATTGGATAGTTAATGTTGTATGAGTATATAGAAAATATTAAATATAGAGGATTGTTGTATGAGTATATTTTGAAACCATATGAAATGATTTGTGAGAAAAAGTACAGCTTTGTATTTGACTAGCAAGTGCCAATATACACGGATATTCGTATGAGGTAATTCTGGCTATTGATATAGGTTGACTAAGTGGTTAAATGCACTAATTCAACTGAAATTTTTTTTTTTAACTTAAGCAACAATTCAACTAGATTATTTGTTTTTTTAAAAATAATAAAAACGAAATTTTATATTTAATTCTTGCATATTTAAATAGGTTTTCAAACATTGCAAGGCCCGTGATAACTCGCCAAATGCGACAAAATCGTAAATTTGGCGAATAAAATTGTGTTTCGGCGAAAGTATTGGCGAATGATTTTTTCCACTGGAAAGAAAAATATATATTTAACTCCATCCTCAAAATTACGTCAAAATGAATTTTTCTAAACAAATTAGTATTTTTTGTTCGATTACATTAGTTTTCGGTAGATGCGTCGCACAACCAATTAGAACTGGGTCCAAGTAATATAAGTCCAGGACAAACTACGGTAAAATAGTTTTCTGTGGGAAAAAAAATAATCATAAAAAATTGTTAAGATTTGCATCTGATGAAATCTTTTGAAAATTGGCGAATACTTTTGATATTTGACTAATTTACTGGCTGATAATTTGAAATCATTAGCTCGGGAGCTGTATAGATTTTTTTTTTTGAATGATAGAAATATTGAGCAAAGGAGCTACAATTTGATGACAGGAACTCACATAAATGTATAAAAATTTTGTGTTAGCAAATAATTTTTTTGATAATATTTTAATATTTCTCACCACACATGCATCTTTTCGTCCACCTTCATATCCTGCACACATCATTTCCGGAAAGATTCGGAGATTAATTCTTTTCCAATGATGCCACATTTCACATTCGTAATTAGAAATAATTGGTATTTCTACTTTATGCAAGAGGCGTGTTCCATACCTATTACCTGAAATTTCATTAAAACGTTAAAGTTATGTAACTACATTTCTAGCTTCATAAAGAGTTACAGCATCTTCAATGGATTTTAGTATGGAGTAATTCAATGCATAAGAAGTTTTAACAAACAGTTAACCCTTTATAACAAACAGTTTTAACACAACCGTTAGTAAAATTAATATAGAATTTTTGGTGACAGATTAGTTGTATTTACTCTAAACTGGTTTAAATATCTAATTTTGAACAACTCTCAGACTTTTATTTAACTTACAATTGGAAAATTAGTTACATTATCAACAGTTGTCAAAAGTTTATCTACAGCATTATATAACGGAAGCTTCTATGAATGGATCACAACGGTTTCATTTAAAACAATTCTAAAGCCTCATATCTTTAGAGAAATGATTTTTATACTCTAGAATTCTAAAGCTAATTTGTGATTTTCTATTCTCTTAATTGACATGACTTTTTTTTCACTGTAATTAATGAAGTATTTAAAATTGAAATAGATATACAAGTTATTATGTTCTGAAACATTACTAAAGTTGTGGTTGCCATATGTTAGCCTTATAGTAGTTACTAGCTATTCATCACAAAATTTGAAAACCAGTCTTTTTTTTGTGCAGATTTTCAAGCAGCTATCAAATTAATTAATGATTTCTGTTGCATACCCACTGACAGCTGAGATTTCCTAGAGACCAATACTCCCCAATTCAACAAGGCTTGACACCAAGCACGTGACGTCACAAGAGGAACGAAAACCTGATGTTTCCCAATATTGTCGGTTGAAGTTAATTACGACTCAGAGCAGGAATTAGGCACGTCGTGATTACGTACTTGGGTCATTTTCGCTTATCCTAGCAAAACGAAGTTTTTATGTTCAGAAATGATGTAGGGGAAAAAATTGTTCTTTAAATTATGTCTAGGGATTCTGGCTTTTGGGGTATTTCTTCACAGTTGTGATGTCAGAAGGCTGCTTTCAGGAGCTAGTTTCCAGTCCTCTTGTAAACTAGGTGTAAGAGAAAAATTGCTCTTCAAATTATGTCTAGGCATTCTGGCTTTTTGGGGTATTTCTCCATAGTTGTGATGTCAGAAGGCTGCTTTCAGGAGCTTGTTTCCAGTCCTCTTGTAAATTAGGCATAAGGGAAAAATCGTTCTTCAAATTATGTCTAGGCATTCTGGCTTTTGGAGTAATGAAGAAGCGAACTTCCTTGGAAATAGAGGTACCATCTTATTAAAGCATCCAACTACGACTTCTAATTGGGAGATCAAACTATTAAAAAAAACTTATTTACATTTAATTTCTAGTTCCCTCATTTATGCTTGATTGATTCCACACAGTTGCAGTTTTTCGCATGTTTACGGACATGATTTCCTCACCATACACATCTTAACCGTAATAGGTTTTTCAGTCGAGCCTATTTGCCAACTGTATGTTTCTGAAATGAATCATTATTTTTAAATTGAAAATTAAATAATCCTTATTTTATTTTCAATTCATTTTCAACTTTTATCTCATTGTTCGTTTTCAACAAGCATTGTCAAAGCATGAAACACGCATTTTTTTACATTCTTCAATTTGAAATATACATACTAATGCATACGTGCCTTTATTATGGTTTGTAGGTTTAGCAAGCTATTAAAATATATATAAGCTGCCATGTGCAAAATGCATTCACTTAGTAACATTAAACAGGTGCTACTGATAAGAATCCCCACGCCCCCCCCCCAAAAAAAACCCCATTTACAACACTTGCTGAAAACATACATCACTTGAATGAGTTATAATATCTATTCCCTACACAGACTTTTAAGGTCTTTTTGCAAGACAGTTTAGCTAATACTTTCACTGCTATATATTCGAAAAAATTAGAGTAGAAAAAACTTAAAACGAATTTAAAATTAAATCACAAAAATTTTACAAAACACAAAAAAAAAAAAATTTTCATCACAAAAATTTTTTATTAAAAAACAACACACATTAAATTTCGTAAAAGATTTTTAATGTGTGTTGAAATTAAAATTTAAAATATTTATATAAATCAATACTAGTTTCGTATTAAAATGAACAAAAATTTAAACCTATCTGAGTTACCTACTACAAGATTATTTTTATTATGAAGTAGAGGACTTTTATTGAAGTTATTTCTCCTTACACAAATATGTGTTTCTGAAATATTGTATGAGAATTTATATTGTAATTCTTTTACAACTCCATACTTTCTTAATAAAATTGTCTTGCTTACCATTTCTATTGTTTTTATTTACTAGAAGAACGAAAAAAAATTAGGCGTAATTTGTTTGAAATCAATAAAAGACCTCAACACAATAGAACAATTATTTCGATTGTTTCGATATATTTTCTGTTGTTCTGCAATTTTACTCTCTCAACAAAATTTAAACAGTCAAGTATTTATTTTATTTTCTGCACTTGGCTTCATTAATGATTGGTGGAGTTAATGAAAAGTGGAATAAAATAGGCAAAGGTTATCAGGCGGATTTTTTCGTATTACATAAAAAACAGACGTACAACTACAAATAATAAAATTGTTCTCGTAATGCTTCTGAATAAATATTGGTTTTAATTAAATATGTAGCCTACATGCATACTTAATGACACCTGATATACGTATTTGTGCACATCAGGTACTTTTGGATGCATATTTATGCACATCAGGTACTCAGATACTTTTTTTATTAAAATGGGCATTATAAGGTGAAAAAAAACGAAACTTCCAGAATAACTTTTGATCTGATGAATAGATTTTCAAATACTTGAACAATCTGAATGCTAATTATTGCTAATTAACTATGCTAATTAATTAGTGCTGTCATTATTTCATGCTACGAAATCAGACTCAAAAACGTAGTCGTTCAGTATAAACACACCTTTTCTTCCGACGGATTATGATTTCTGATGTCCAAATTAACGAGTGTTTCAATCTGGTAATTTGGTCAAGATAGTTTGGTCACCAGAGTGGCCAAAATTTGAAACCCTTAATGCTAATTTTACTTTTTGCATGTTAAGTCATATCTTGAAAACTTTTTAAGCGGATTGAAAAATTTTTGCACATAGTTATAATTTTGTTTATTAAAAAACAATTCCACACAAAAAATAATTTTTAATAATTTTTTTATTATTTTTTGTTTTCTTTAAGTAAAAGTCGAAAAATTTTGAATTAGTATGGATACAAATTTTTAAATTTTGTTAAAGATTGTAATTTTTTACATGGCAAGAAACAAAATTTGAAAGAAATTGGTGAAACAGTTCCTGAAAATTTGAATTTCAATAAAGTCAGATATTTAAAATTTGTTTTTTCAATAACTATACGACTAATTTCATTCGAATTTTGTATTTTGAGATATAAAGAATAGTATTCTTCTAAACAATGAAAAATTGGCATACCTTCCAATTCAAAAATGTTCGACTATTATTAAATAAGATAATAAAAAAATAACAAATAATTATTAAAAAATTTATTTTTTATGGAATTATCTTTCGATAAAATAATTTTATAATTGTGTGCAAATAGTTTTAAATTCACTTAAAAACTTTTCGAGTTTCTGCGAAATTCGCAAGTTGTAAAATTAATATTAAGGGTTCCAAACTTTGAATCGATCTCTTGACACAACTATTAGGACCATATTTAGTGACTGCCCTCTATATTTAGAGGATCAGAAATCATAATTCGTCAAAAGTGTGAATCCAAGTGAGTACAAGTAAATACGTTTTTGTGTCTGATCGAAATTGAGAAAAACTTTTTAAAGTTTCCTATTGTTTTTATATAATCTCCGTATACTTAAGGTATCCGACCAGTTTCGAAATTTTTTTTAAACGCTATTATAAAATTTTAAAGAACTAGTTTGCTTTATTATCTGCAATAACTTATAAAACTAGCAAGAAAATGATCATTATTACTATTTTAATTTTATATGACAATTCTTTGATAAAATTGAGGTATTTTTTGCACATGCACTAAGTACTGTAAAAAAATTTCTGTTACATAAAACAAAAACAAAAATAAACCTTTGAAGATTTCATTATCAACTATGTTTTGAACTATTATCTTAAAAGCAAATGTATATACTACTGAGTTAGGGATCAATGTAGTTTAAAAAAATCTTATTTTTAAAAATTTCCGCATTTGTGTTTGCGAAAAAAAAAATGCATAAAAGAAATTCGACTTCTTTCTCTTAGTCGGTCAATCAAAACATGTGTCCTATAGTCATAAACACTATGAAAAAGTGAAGATTATTACTTCAAAAACAACATAGATATGATGTTTAAGAAGGTGTAAAATGTGAAAAAAAACCTGATTTTGAGATAAACGCATTTAAAGACAAAATCATTTGTCTATCCACTGTTATCACCTCGATGATATAACTGATACAAAAACTTACATAACTTTGTAAATAATTGGAGTACAAACAAAAGTAATATATTTTTAGAAAGCTAAAAGTACAGGAATCCTAAAATTATAATAAACTCAATTTGCCCAGAATAATGTTTTTACCTTATTCTTAAATTTCCTTATATGAATTATGTTAATTTAAATGAAAACAATTACAGCCTAGATATTTAAAATAATATTTTTAAGATCCAAGTAAGAAAGTGATTACTTAAAGCTGGATCAGTTTTTCCCCATCCAGTAATGATTCCTCTTCTTCCTTCAAAATTCCAACCTTGAGGAGGCAAACAAATAGGAAGAACGTTCTCTTGATATCGTGCAGGTCTATCAAGTTGTATAAGAGCTACATCGTATCTATCAGGATGAGAAGGCGAAAAACGAAAGTTGGGATGTAAGAGTTTTTCAACCACTCGAAACTTTTGAGCTGGTAACAATTGATAGCGCTGATCGTGTATATCATAAGCTCCCAGAACAACGATAACATCACGTAATAAAGCTCTAAAAACATAGAAACAGATGTTAGGTTTCATAGAAATATTAAATTTACTTAAAACATTAGTTTTAAAATATAATATATTGATACGAATTGAAATTTGATAATTGGCTATTATAATAAGATTAGATAGATTATAATAACAGATATATAGATTATAATAACAGATATTATAACAGTTATAGATTATAACAGATATTATAACAGATTACAATAATTAAAACACTACTATTTTCATAGATGGAAAAAATTAAAACTCCTATTTAACAAGAAACCAACATTTTTAAATAATTCATATAATTCGTTTTGCTTACATTTTACATGAATACAAATGTTATAATTTACGACAGTTTTAGCATAAGAAAAATTTCTGACACTTCTGCTTTAATTAAGTTTAAGTACCGGCAAAAAATCTTGACATTATTACTACTAGTATAAAGTGTGAAGACTTTCTATTGATGTTGTTATAAGTTGATTTTTAAGAAATATTGCAGACTGTAAAATAATGTAGCTACGCAAAAATGGTACTCAATCAGGCCCCCTCTCTACAAATCGTTTTACCTTATCAGTCTATACCGATATTATTTTGATAAACTTTATGAAAATTTAAAATTGTAGGATGATGATGATATATCTTCAAATTGGAGGATTTGGTGAAGAGTGTTTAATATATAAAGTAATGAATAACGATGCAAAAGGATTTTTAAATTAGATCTCTAAGATACAATATCATTTGGTTTATCAGCTTTTACAGATCTAGGTTGGGCAATTTTCATTTCAATTTGAAAGGGTAAGGTTAGTGGTCAGAAAAACTACATTATTTTTGTAGCTTAATAGGACTACAACTATTTTGTTAAAAATGTAGTTATCTACAACTTCTACTACCTTTTTTAAATGTAGCGACTACGAACTACTTTGAAATTGCAGTAATTATTTCACAACTTTAAGGAGACGAACTTTGGAGGACTTAATTTTCATCTATGTTCAAAATGGTTTTGAATAAGAAATTGGCTTACATTAACCATAAGGGAATAATTACGAATTATATATTCATGTTTAAATTAGCCAATTTGTTATTGCAAAACATATTTCTTGATTTAGCTAATTTAACCTTCAACTTTTTATGCCTTTTTTGACATCGAATGTTTAATTTACGAATTGCGAAACTATCAAATACTTGCAATTTTTAAATTGTTTAATGTAGGGGAGAGTGGGGTAAATTGTAACAGGGTACGATTGTAACAGAGCAAAAATTTCGGGTGTCGGGTTCTAGATTTGGTGCCTAGGTGGCGCACTAGGTGTATTTAATAAATCTACATGTGCACCCCTGATGGCAACCTTTTTTATGTACTTTTGAAAGAGTTACATCACAAAAGATATTTTCATGCTACGTAAGTACTTTTTTGGTATTAGAGTATTATATTTTAACAAAGTAATTTTGTTTAAACAAATAAAAATTATTAACCGAATATGTAAGTGGACACCTTAATTAACATTTCAAAAAAAAAGATTGGCTTTGTTAATTAACTAGCATTGTTTTTAACAAATGAAGCTGAAATGGCTTCTTGGGGACGATTCCAACAATAAGTAAAGGGACGATTGAAACAGCTGAAAATAAATAATCTTATGTTTACAAACCATTACTTAACTCTTTAAGAACCACCAATAGTTTCCTATATCATTTATATTATGTTGCATGTGCATTATTTTATTTGTCACCTTTCACAGCATAAATTAAAATTTTTAACCCCTTAAAGTTAAAAGTTTAACCCTTTAGGTCTCTGCTCATTATTATTTTTACTCCTAAAATATCACTACTATTTTGATCAATAAACAAATGTATCACAACTATGATAATATGCATAATTAACTATGTTTTAGTTGAATTTATGAACTGTTACAATTGACCCCGTAAGTGGGGACAATTGTAACAAGTGCACGACTGTCAAAAATTGTTAATAAGTAATGTAATAACATTTAAAATAAGGTATTTTTTTTTCTAGTAGAGGATAGTCTACTTTACTCGTCTGTCAGTTAATACTAATAATATATTGGATTTTTTGTTAGTTAAAAATAGTTAAGTAAAAAATGTTACAATTGACCCCTCTCTCCCCTACTTTTATTTCCTCTAAGAAATTAAGTTCATCGAAAATACGTTCCCTTCTTCTGAAATAACGTCAATGTTTCACGAGTGTGCATTATTTTTAAGATTGACCTATTGAGGTAGTATAACGAGCATGTAAAATATCGATGCACAATTGTATTCGATAAGGTCTATTAGCTACAATAGTTTCTAGCTTATTTGTCGTTGCAGAGACAAGCTTTACTATAATTAAAGAAGTAAGGTGATACTAAATCAAAACAGTAGTGCACTTTAAGTAGGCAGACAAATATATTGGTATAAAAGGCATAAACTATCACTAGAACATATATAGTTTTTTAAATTAACTATTGTTAAAACCGGCAACAAAATATTTGTGCTGAATCAACTGACTTTAAAAAAAAACAATGTTTTATGCAAAACGCATCTATAGTTTGGAATATATCAAACATTTTCATTATGTAGTGTTAACAATAACAAAAAAGTACTGTAATTTTATTTAAATCGTGGATACCTATATACACAGTGAGCAGCAGTTACAACGTAATGGTGGTTTAAGAGAACCCCTCCACATTGTTGTTGGGTGATTTTAATATGAGCCTAAAAATAAAATGAAAAATATATCATTCAAATATTAAAATAAACTGCGCACAAATAAAGATTTAATAAATGACATTTAATTTATTTAGGAAATAATTAAAAAATAATTCAATGTCGAATAGCATAAAATGACAAAAAATTAGGGTTTGCCTTAAATTTTGTGGTTAAAGCGCAATAGAAATTTTTTTTCTTTTAATCTTTTAACAGTAATTTTTTTTAAAAAAACACTCTTTATTCCGTTTGGAAATTTTATTTGTTTCCTTTAAATCCAAATCAAGTTAATAAATACAAAATTTATTTTAATCAATTCTGCGTTAAACTCTCCTTTAGTAAGTAAACTAAAAGTGTTCCTTCTTCCTGAGTAGAAACTATGGTATTTGATCAACTCCTACTTTCTTCGTAGATCAAGACTAAACAAAGCAATGCCTCCTAGGAAAGAAAACGCCTCCGCACGGTTTACCATAAACGAGAAATCAGATCCTTTAGTGGTCCGAACGTAGTGACATCTTTCGTATTTCTCTTACTGCGCAGTTTAGTAACCCGTACGTAGTGAGAAATCTACCCGCTGCTCAGTTTAGTTATGTTTGTTAGTTCGGACTACTCAATTCCTTCATGCAAAGGCCTACCTTCTTCTAGGCAAGTGGAATAAGTCTGTTCGTAACGGCTTCGGTCTGGTTTACGGATAAAAGAATGCCTGATCATGGCGCTTATAAACTAGATTGTTAGTTCAAACCAGGTTCTTTCACAATTCATTATTGATTTAGCAAAAGAAACAAATGTTCTGTTCAGAAAATTGTTAGAAATTAACATTCATTTTTCAATAAATATAAAGCAAAATTTTCAAAACATAAAATTATCTCTATTTTTTTTTGTCGTATGCCTGTTGAGGCATTAGGGCTGCGATTGTTCCTGTTTTTCAGTGGCGCCATCTATGGCCAAGAAATCGACTTCTGCCAAGCCATTCACGCAACCACAACCCGTTTATAGGGCGGGTCACATTCACACACAAAGGAGAAAGGACATAGAGAGAAAGAAACATCCATGCCTTGCCCGGGATTCGAACCCAGGACCTTTCTGATGCAAGGAAAGTTCCCTGCCCCCTACACACGCCGGTCGGCATAAAATTAAATAAAATGATTTATAGATATTAATTAACTTTTTATTTTATGGAACAATTATGTTTCAGATTATAGAGGCTGGGATAGCCTGGTTAGCAAGGGCTCTGAACTTATGTTCGTGAGAACGGAAGTTCGAATCCAACAGGCCGAAGACTCCCCGTGTAGTAAATGGTGACTGGTGCACGTTAAATCTGTCGGGTCGCAAAGTCCTTCATGTTACCATAAGAAATAGTACCTCTGGTGGTACTGAGCTGGAGATTGATCGTTCTGTCGTTCAGCTCAAAAATGCGATTTGTGGATGAATGAATGGATGTATGAATGGTATGGGTGTGGCAGAAGACGTATTCATGGCAATAGATGGTGCCGCTGCAAAACAAGAGCAATCGCACCACTTGCCTTAATGGCCTACGACAACAACAGCATTTCAAATTATAGTACGAATCTGATAAGCTTAAATAACTCCACATAAGTAAGATAGATAAGTTATTTATTGAATAATTGTATGTAAGACGTTTGTCCTGCAGTGAACTGATCGTTAAGACACGGTTCCCAGCATATCACCGAAGTCAAGCATCACTGACTGCGGTCAGTGTGCGGGTAGGGGACCACTTGGATCAGTCTGCGTAGGGACCGAGGGTGTGCGGTATTGGTCTTCGTTAAACTGTTCTACCGTAAAGTGCTCGACTTCGCGTGCAGGTCGTCGGGCTACCGAAGCGGGGGTGCCATCCCCTCTGCGGAGGATAAAATTGTGATGGCATGTCTTCGGATCATCCTCAGGGATGTTTCCCAGACCGTCGCCAATAGCCCATTGTACAGCTCTAGTGCGACGTAAATAAACAAATCAATCAATCAAGCATGTAAGACGTTTAAAAAATTTCAAAAACTATTTATACTTATTAATAAATAAAAGAGCCAAAATTTCTTTCAAAGTCGATTTTTGAAGAACTTCGAATAATCAAAAAATTAAACCTCTGAAAAAGTATGTCCTTTCGCTGAAAATATAATTTCTTTATACTGAAACTATTTTGAAACATTTAGTTGCCGAAACTGCACAATTTGAAATATCATTTTTAATAATTTCAATAATGGTTCGATCTGTCTATTGTAAGAGGAAATTAGTTCTTTTTGGGGAACGAGAATTCCGAAAATTATAATCTTCAAATCTAGCCAATTAAATGGAATTTTTTTTTTCACACTAGGTGTAGACCACACTTAATGTAAATTTTTTAAATTCAAATCAAAAAGGAATACAAAGTGTGTACATCATATGGGTTGAAATTTAATTTTCAAGTGAGGACGAAGCAAAAACTGTATTTTCATATGATAAATCACAATTGAGGAATGTTGCTTCGGAATATCAAAACCTGTTTTATTGCAGGGAGAACTTTTAAGTTGTTTAATTGTTAATAATCGTCTTTCGATTCCTTTCTGTTTCCTCTCGGAATCATACAAGTTTTTCGTTTTGTGCACCCATCTTGATTAACTGTGATTTACAGATTTTACAGACAACTGTGATTACGTTTTTATTTCTTACTTTATTGGACAGTAATTTTTGATTTCATTTTGGACAGTAATTATAAAAATATAAATTAAGAGAGGACTTTTAGGAACAACTTATGTTAATAATTAGGTAGAACTCACTTAGGTAGAATAAGCTTTGGTAGAATAAGCTCAGTTTTTTTAAATATTGAAAATTAAAAGTGTTTATATTGATCTGCACTGAAGTTATTTATAGTCCAAAATGAGCATTTTCTTAGGTGTTAGAAAACCTGGGAATTGCATCATGCACAGAGAAAATATTCTGGTAACAATACTTTACAGTATAATAATGGTATTTCTGGTAAAAACAGCAACATAATTCTGGTTAATAAAAGTAAAATATATGGTATTTAAACCATTCATTTGGTAACTTATCCATTCATATGTTTATAGTTTACAGAAAAGTCTGGTTTTTTAAAATTATAGTTCTCATTACAGCACATTTAGTAAAAAATATAAGACTAAAAAGTAACCTTAACCAAATAAATGGTTTTTATCCCACACTCTAAGGTATCAGGATAAAACTACCAATTTTTACCATATTGACCGAATTTTATAACGTATTTTAAAATCATATTTTACCAGAATCATCACCATTAATTTCATTGAGATTTTTGGTGTTTCCATAGAGCCAGAAACATGGTAAATGTTAACATATTCTGTAAATTTTTACCACACTTTTTTTCTCATTGTGGGAACAGCCCCCAATGTCCCTTCCAAAAAGCAAGTTAATTAAAAAAAAAATCACACTGATATAAATGGGGAGGAAAAGTGCATTACCTGCCATGGAAACTCTCCAAATTCCGCAGTATTTCCACCTACAATTCGACTAGTTGGCTTGTAGACTCTTTCACCACAAACAGCTTTCATGCAACAAAAATGGAAAGAAAAAACGGATTAAAACACAAGATAGAATAATAAAAAAATAAAGATATGTAGATCTCAGATCATGAGGAATTTCACCTTATAAACAAGGATTTGAGCATCGAAGCATTTATACTTAACTTAATGATTTACAGTTAGATCGTAATTAATAAACATAAAAACAACAAACTCACAACAACCAAAATTATATAACAGATTTTATTTTATATTTTACAACCATCTCTGAACAGCCGACCCAACTTTGGGTTTGAGACTACTATTAATCAATTCCGTAGCCTTGTGATTTTGAACCCAGTTCAGAAGACAAGGGAGCTCCTGGATCAAGTATTGGGAGAAATTTTGCCTTCGTGGATGACTTTTTGATGGAATTAACCTGCATTTGCGTTACACGGAGAGCGGAATTCGTATCGGTCAGCCATCACTGGAGTTCAAATCCGGTTCACCTCATTGGAAGGAAAAACGTTAAAGTTTGTTAAATTTTATTCAACACAAGGTCATGAAATAGAGAATGTACAGTAATCACCGTCATAAAGTAAAAGGTCGTAAATGATCATTTAAAAAAGAAAACAGATATCAAATATTGACGTATTATCGGAGTTGAAGGTGTGGTTAAGGTAAATTCAATTTATAACTTTATAACCGTTGTTGAACAACCGACACAATTTTGGGTTCACGACTATTAATCTTCAATTCCGTAGCTTTGTAATTTTGCACCCAATCCAGAAGAAAAGAGAACTTCTGGATCAAGTACTGGGAGAAATTTGCCTTATGGAAGACTTTTTCATGGAACTTACCAGCATTAGCGTTACATGGAGAGAAAAGCCACGAAAACCTCCCATGGTTAGCCTAAAGGCAAGTGGACTCTAGCCTTATATCCGTTTACCACTGAGGATACTTTACGTTAACACTGTGGTCGATGTAATCCGGGTGCGGAATTAGTATCAACCACCCATCGCTGGAATTTGAACCCAGGTCACCTCATTGGAAAGCGAACGCTCTCTTTACTTAGCCATCACGCCTCCAGATAACATATTACCATAAACTGGATAAGAAGCATGGTTTAACCACAAATCTGCTAACAATTGTTGAGCTATTGGGAAAAATGACCTTGATACATTTGAACCGTTGTCAAGTTTAAGAAAACTTGACTGTTGAATAGAGTACATGTTTTATTTTCGATTTTATAACCGTTGTTGAGCTGTCCATCCAATTTTTGGGTTTCGACTTCTAATGTTCAACTTCGTTGCCTTGCAAATTTGAATCCACTTCAAAAGACAAGGGAACTCCTGAATCAAGTATTGGGAGAAATTTGCCTTCGTGGAGGATTTTTTTGATGAAACATGGAGAGGAAGACTATGAGAACCTCCCACCGTTAGCTTGACTGCAAAGGGACTCTAGCGCATGATCCGTCTGCCACTGCTTGTGTTACACGCCAGCACTGTGGTCGGTGAAAGCAAGATGCGGATTCGTATTGACCAGTCATTGCTGGGATTCGAACCCGATTCACCTCATTGGAAGACGAACGCTCTAATGTTTATGTCTTAGTGAAAATTTCAGAATATAGTGTCCCTTAGTGTAAATAGATCGATTAGTCCTCGTTACTTCTGATCGACACACTTGTGACATATTTTGTGTAACAGTAATGCATTAAGAGTTACACACACTCTTAATGTTTTCGTTTATTTCTAGGTACAAATATCAAAATATAGTGTTTCGGAGTGTATCATTGATTGATTGATCACCGATGCTTAGGATCTAAATTCTTGCGAAACGTTTCGTGGTTTAATATAAAGGGAAAAGTTCAAGCAGGTAACTTCAAAGCCATTGCTTAGCTCAAAAGAGCTATTTGGTAGGTTACCAAATGCATTTGAATTTTCATACTTCATGAGTTTTTAGAAATTTACTATTAATTTGCGTCAATAATAGTCAAACTTCAATCTGTTAAAAAATAAAATTTTTGAACTCAAATGCATTTATGTTTCTACACGTGGTGAGTTGTTAGAAATTTGCAAATTATTTGCTCCGTATCATAATCAATTCTTAAGCAAAATCTGAATATCTTTAGTTACTTTTAAACTAGCATAAAATTTTTGAACTCAGTTTATGGAAAATTGCTATTTTCCATTTTATTTAGCTTAATAATCGTCTCCCTGTTTTTAGTATGGGCATCAGGGATGTGGACTCTCTGACATTCTATTAAATACCAAACCAAGGAAAAATAATCATACCTGCGATTGAGACCAGAATAACCCTTCGTGTAATTACTCGATAGAAAAGTTTTAAGACAATTCCATTGATAGAAAAAAAAACTAAACTTTATAACCATTACAATTCTTTTATTTTAATATCTTTATTTGATTTCAGTATATTTTGATTTAAACAAATGTTAGTACACTGTTAGAATTTTCATTCTAAAATTATGGTAAAGTAACCGACAGCAGTTTGCCCATCCAATTAACCGTAAAGTTTACGGCGAAGAACGCTTTTTATCTTTATGGTTTTGAAGCAGTTCACAGACAGTATAGTTAAGAAAACATGAATGGAAAACTATACAGTTTTTAAACCTTTTACAACTAGCATGGTTTCAAAACCTGAAAAAAAGAAATTTAACTGGACATTGGGGATAGTTAAGCAGCTTTATAGTGCTTCCATCTATGCGTAAAGAGAGTATTGTACTCTAATAGTATCAAATTGACAAGTAACAAATTCACACTGGCAACTCTTCATAGTAAAGGAATGTAGGAAAAACAGTAGTCTCGAGACTGGGATCAAACCCCTGTTCTATCGGTCATGAGATTGACAGAATAGCCATCTCGGCTATATGTACCCAACTGCAAGGAACTAAGTAGCTTCATTAAATGGGCCGAAATAATTCTGGTTGTTTAACCGTATTAGCTGAAATCAGTTTTTAAACAATTTTCTCATAGTTAACAGTTTGAATACCATCTTATTTAGGTTTATTTGACTGTTTGCTTGAACATGGTAAAATAACGATTAAATAAATTGTTATTTAACCATTTTAACTGAGAAATTTCTAACAGCGTAGGGTTTTACAGTAATAGCTGTTTTACGCATGAAGAACAGTTATTAGATAAGAAGGACAGTTTATAGGATATAGGATTTTTTTCTGCTCCTTCATGATATCGATATATTTTGTAAATTTATTTGACTACTTGTAGGATTTTTGGAAAATATGTGCGTAAGAAATAAGAAAAAAATATTTAAAAACACATAATTCTTCCTGATGATCTTATTACATTGATTTGAAAAGCAGCACAGTACCAATTTTGTGCAAGTTCTTTAGCTTATACCTTTATCTTTTCTAAGTACCCGCTGGTTAAGGCCATCTGCAGGTTGTATATAAGGTTGAGGTTGAATAGTTTGGTGCTTTGTAGGAGATCTTCTTAGATTACTGCTTTCGTAAGTGATGCAACAAGTAGAAGCAATAGTTCCAGGACATGAACTCACGGAAGTACCTCCCATCAGTGGACAAAAAAGGAAGAAGACGCAACGTCCGCCATCATGATAACATGCATTGCCGTCATCTTCTAAAAATAGTAATTATAATTTTTTAAATGTTGCAATTACGCGAATATTTATTACGAAATAGTTACTACGATAATGAGGCATGAAAAAAAGTTTTAAAAATATTTAACTATTTCGTTAATTGACCAAATTTCGCACGCTTAAAATATTGGACTGATATTCAGTGCATTGATTAACTGCATTTCCATAGCTATATTGGAAGCAAAGACCCAAGTCGCATGAACCATAATCTATCGATACTCAGTCACAAAACGTGGTCTAAATGTTATATGAAAAATACCTATATGAACAAAAATGAACTGCCTATTAATTCTTACCAAGTAGATATTTCTATCTGTTACCTACCACTTCAGCTTTGAAAAAGCTCTGCTCTTCGACTTTCTGAATAAAAATTATTATTTAATTAAGTATTATGGTAGACAGAACAAAAATGTAGTGCCCATTTAATCCTACTTAGTAGATATTTCTTTCTGTTACCTATCACGTTAGTTTTAAAATTGCTGCTCTTTGATTTCAAACCCGAATAAAAATTATTATTTAATAAGTGTATTATGGTAGACAGAACAAAAATGTAGTGCATATTTAATTATAACTAATAGATATTTCTTTCTATTACCTACTACTTAAGCTTTAAAAAATTACTGTTATTTGACTTCAGATTCAAATAGATATTATTATTTAATTAATATTTAATGGTAGGCAGAACAGAAATGTAGTGCCTATTTAATCATACTTAGTAGTTGTTTCTTTCTGTTACCTAGCACTTCAGCTTTAAAAAAATACTGTTCTATGACTTCAGTTCCGAATAAAAATTATTTAATTAATGAATTATGGTAGATAGAACAAAAATGTAGTGCATATTTAATCATACTTTATTTCTATCTATTACTCGTCACTTCAGTTTTGAAAAATTACTGTTCTTTGATTTTAGACCAGAATAAAAATTATTATTTAATTAATGTGTTATAATAGATAGAACAAAAAAGTAGCGCCTATTTAATCATACTTAGTAGATATTTCTTTTTATTACCTGCCACTTAAGCTTTGAAAAATTACTGTTCTTTGACTTGGACCAGAATAAGAATTATTATTTAATTAATGTATTATGTAAGGCAGAGAATTCTTATTTTTACAAGAAAATAAAAAATCGTAATAATATTACGTTTGTGATTTGTCATTTTCTTTTCTTGAAAAAAAATGAAACTGTATTTTTAATAGGATCCTGATGGGTACAGATGCGTTAATAAGAACTTAAGAAATGAGAGCTACACTAGTGTTGTTTCTAAACATCAGAGTAGTATAATAACTATGCCTGTTCAGATGAAAAACAGCTCCAAATGACATCTAGAAGACACATTTACAGTTTATGTTCCTATCTAGAAAGCGGTGAGAGATACAAGAGGAATATCAATTCTCAATTCAGTATGAAACGATTCTTTTTGCACCTTAAAGTTGAAAATTGAACCATAAGGCAAGCATAGTGTTTTAAGCTTTAATACAAAAACTGCATTTAGCAAGAAACAAAATCTATTTCTAGATTTAACGTCAGCGTAACTGCGCAGTTAAAAAAAACACTAAAAATTGTTCAAAAAAGTGCTAAGAAACCCACGTATTTTTGTGTTCTTCTCCGTACATTCACACATCACATAGGAAAATGTGATACGGATTCAGATATAACGCACCATGCAACATGTAAGGCGCATCTAATCCACTTTTGTAGGTATTTTGCGCATATGATTGAGCAGTTGATTACGCATATGAGCATGATATGCAAGGGCATCATCATGCATAAAACGCAAGAAGCGCTTCAAAGTGTATAACATTCAGTTGCATAATTTAGGAAGGAGAAACAAGTTTCAACTGATTTCAATATGGTTTGCTGCCCCCTGTTCTATGGTACACTGTGAAAAAGAGTATGGACAAAACTACCAATATATGATAAAACTTACCACGTTTCTCACTTTATAGGAACACAAAAAAGCTCGATAATTTTTACCGAAGCGCTTTGGCTATAATTTTTGGTAAAATTAACAATGAAATAGGTTTTATATTATGTGGTAAAATTTGGTAATTTTTTCATGATACCTTAGAGCATGGCATAAGAAGCATTTATTCGGATAAATTTAGTTTCCAATTTTGTATTTATTACTAATTGTTTGGTAATGAGAACTATAATTTTGAAAACCTGAATTATATGTAAACCGCTACCATATAAACGGAAAAATTGCAAAATTACCAAAGGAATAGTCACCGTATATTTTGGTTTTTATTACCAGAATTATAATTTTTTGAAATTTATTTTTTAACCAGAAATGTCATTACCATACGATATACTAATTTCACTAGAATTTTTTCTCCGCCTTAATTTTTCGTTGACTAGATTACTTTTATTCCCCCTCTAAATTTATCAATCGAATCATAGAACACAATGTATTATGAACTATATGTTGAATAAATCGTAATAAGTAGGAAAACAAGAATACCGACTGGCGAATATTTCATATTTAATGGAATTAAATGTATTATATGTTGAAATAAGTCGTAATAAGTCGTCGGAAAACATGTTTATTTCATTATGCTTTATGTTATCTATAAATGCGTGTTAAAGAAAAGCAGACCCCGCATATATTTTAAATGCACTGGAATCAAATGTATTTATTTATAATTTTAAATTAAAGTAATTGTTTATTAAAAAATCTATAATGTTGTTTTATATTGTTCTATTGAATTTGCTATCAGTTTAAATTTTAATTATGGATAAATTTAGGAAAAAACAGCATAATTTACTCTATCCAGCCAAATCCTACTTTAATTTATTTTCTTTTTTTGTTTTGATATTACCTATTAAATAAAAACAAATAAGACTTTTTGAGTTGTGAAACGAAGTACATTGAAAAAAACTCCGAATCAAATTACGGCATTAAGTTTTGGCACGTTGGGTGCATCATCCGTAAAATTCGTTTTATCCATATAATCTGTTTTTACCGTAATGTATTATACCGAAATTTTAGTTAACTAGAGTAATTCAGCGATTTTATAGTAATCATTACTGTAAAAATTAGGGAATGTCAGATTTTTCTCTTGTCCATAACATGTTTCAATAAAAATGGATTTTACGGTAAAAAGTACCGGCTACTTAAATGCCAGTCCTTCTTTCCGTAATTTTTTACAATGAATTGAAAAAAATAAATTATAAAACAGATAGAACACACATAAATAAGAACAGATATTGTTCTTATTTATTTATATTTTTTTATCTAAGAAAGCTGATGAAATGAGTAAAAATGATATAACTTAAAATTAAGTTAATGATTAATCGAAAAAATTATAAAGGCATTTTATATTGTCTTGTTATATATGATATTGTTTTACGTCTCGAGGTTAGTTCAACGCTCCAAGAAAACATTTAAAGTTTCAGGTATTTTTGTTTTGGTTAAAGTAGTACAGAAACAAAATGTTTGAATCCTTTTTTTATACAAACAAGCAAATTTTTCGAAAAATGAAGTCACGCATTGTGCCAGAACATTGAAAAATGATTTAAATTATCGGAAAAAAAACACTAAACTTATCGGAAATAGTAAACAAAAACAAAGCTACGGAAAACAATAAAAGTCATTTTAGGAGTAATGTCACGGTGAATATTTATGACCTGCAATGACATGAACCATGACTGAAGCTGGTTCACGCACTCTTCTTGTGACTGATAATAAAATGAAATCTGATTCATTACTTATTTGATTGGGTTCACATAATTTAGTTTTTTAGCAAGAATCTTTTAAAATCAGTTCAGCATCATTGATTTTTATTGCTCGGTCAAGATATAACATCTAAGAGTGCAATTCCACAAATCAAAAGTCATTAATTTTATTCGATCTGTTTTTTTTTGGAACTTAATTGTTTTCATAAGTGTGATGTGAAAATTCTTTATAGCAGTAAAGTTCATCGATGAATCATTTCTTGAATTTCGATACTTCGCTCGAATTCCGGTAGATTTTTTCCAGTCAGTCGCACAGAGAAAAAAACAAACATCTTTAATTCACGTGCGGTTTCCTTTGCTATGAAAGAAAACACGTTCGTTTTTTCTAAAATTTAATCGAAAAACAATGAAATTTGTAAGTGGATATCTAAAGAAGGAAGTTTTTTTTTCATTTTAAATATTGGAAAATAATTAAATTTAAAAATTGAATTTTGCTTAAGGTTACGATTAGATAATTACTAATTTACATAAATATACAGTTCCTGGCCAAATTAATAGACGCACTATAAGATTCTATGTATAATCTTAATTATCAGGTGATACTATACAGCTTTGTTGTTTTTACGCGACTGAAACCGGTTTGCACTTGTTTATGTTCGTGTATCGATGGGTTAAATTAGACGATATATCATATAAATTCGACAATTGGATAAATTAGAGGATATATTATATAAATGTAAAATATTTATTATATCAAATATTATATAGGTATATTATAATAATTAGAACAGATTATTAGACGCAATTTAGTTTTTTAATAATTACATGTTATATATGCAATACTTTTATAACTAAACATGCATGTAATGGGTTTAATTCGGGAGATTTTTTATATACTTCCTATTTGTATTAATTTTTTAACGTATTGCATTACTATGTTAACCAACTGATACATGAACGTAATCAAGTGTAAACCGGTTTAAACAATAAAGCTGCATAGTATCACTTGATAATGAAGATTTTACATAGAATATATATAGAGCGTCTATTAATTTGGCCAGGGATTGTAAAGTAATATAGCTAACTTTTTTTGTAAACTTAAGTTAGGTAAAAGCGCTATTTTTTGTTGCTAAAAACATAAAAACATTCTTTAAATTGAAAAGAAAATCAGGTAAAATGTGGAAAAAACGATATATTTTTTAAAATGTTCGCTAATCCTTTTCTATATTGGAAAATTGTAAAATAAATTAATTGAATATATCATAAAAAATATTTAATCATTAAATTACGTATAAATAAATAAAAATCATTTTTAATGTATTTAACTTGTGTTCGAATTTGTAGATAAATTTTTAATGAGATATCGTTCTCCTTATTACCGCTTATTTTAATTATTTTGTGTTTATTTATTTGTTTACATTTTAGCTATCATATATTAAGTAAATATTGATTCAAAATTTTATTACAGTAATTCATAATTAATTTATTCTTCGTATTTTGCCTATGACCTTATAGAATAGTCACTTACGACTTTATAACTTATTTGAACAAACTTTTTCACTAATGAAACGACTATAAATAAAAAAACAGTAAAATTAGAAACAACCATTTAATACAGAACTGTAACTAGTTTTTTTTTCAAAATAACACATAAAGTCGTAGAACAATTTTGTTTACTATTAAAATTTAGTCATATTTGGTTGGAATATCCTTGGCTCATTCACATTACACATATTTATACTTTTACTACAAAATAATGAAATATAAAATGTACTAATTCAAAATAATATAACATGGCAATTAACAATGTTAAACAATTTAAGTGCTTCCACAGAAGACTATGGAAATTAATGCTTTGAGTAACAAGTTCTAATTCAGTTAATACCAGCAAAATGTATCTTAGCAAATGTATCCGTTTTTCATGTTCTAACTGTATAAGTATACTTACTGAATTTAATGATTGCAGAACACAATTCTGTCTTTCAACTGTGACTAGATTTAGGAAATTATAAATACCTCTAAAATTTAAATAAATACCTCTAAAAGATGTGACTTAAAAATACCACTAAAAATATAAATACCTCTAAGAGAAGTGAGCGGGAAAAATCAAACATTAGCCTGTATTAAATATTTAACTTAAAAAAAATAAACCCTTAGATATCAAGAAAGTAATTTTTGAGCATTTAAAATAATAGAAAAAATTAAATGATGGACATATTTTATAATAATTACCTCGTTTCACTGAGATTCCTAAAAATGTATCTGCAGGCTGAAAGAGTGTGAGTGAAGCAATAAATATGCAAATAGAGACACGCCATCTTGCATCGAGCATCGCATTAGTGGACCCTTGGTATAATCTTTACCTGCAGTGAGAAAAAAAATTATTACAATTTGCCTAATATGCAGGAAATTCCGGTTTTCAGAATTATAGTTCTTATTAGCACACATTAAGTAAAAAATACAAAACTGAATAGTAAATTTAACAGAATAAATGGTTTTTGTGCCACGCTGTTAGGTATCATGATAAAATTACCAAATTTTACCACGTTTACCAAATTTTATTATAAATCATGAAACCATATTTTGTTAATTTTACCTACATAATTAATAAAGCAGTTCGATAAAATTTACTGATTCTTTTCACATTCCCGTAGAACCAGAAACATGGCAAAGTTTGCCATATAGTTTTGACCATACTTTTTTGAGTTTTGACCATACTTTTTTTCTCAGTGTAAAATTGTTTTTTAGTCTTAAAAGTATACATTTCCATTAGAGGCATGAGCTCCAACACCAAAAACTACAAAATCCATATTCTACGTTTAAAATATCTTGCAGGATCATTCTAGTAATTATAATATCATTTTTGCGCAATTCCCCACTAGAAAATTAAACTCATATTTACTCTCTTTTTTCAAAAGTTGCTTATTTTTTAAATCTATGAGTTTATATCTAGATTTTGAAAATGAAATTAATATTTTACTCTCTTTTTCAAGAGTTACTTAATAAAGATGAATTTAAAAATATTTATTAACTGTCCTTGAAATTCTGCAGAATCCTACCTCATCAGTGTCCGTTATCGATATTTAACTTATTTTGACTTCTATGCCAGTGGAACAGTAACTAGTTCTATGAGTGAAAAATGAATAATTTTTAGTTTTAACCATACCTTATTTCTTAGCGTAAAATTTTTTTTTGCCTTATAAGTATACATTTCCATTAGAGGTATGAGCTCGGGCACATTTTAAAACTTTGTAGTTTTTAAAATGTGTTCGGAATCCTTATGTGTAGAAAGCCCTTATTCTATACTTAACATATCCGTTTCCTTGCAGGATTCTTCCAATAATTATAATATCATTTTTGCGCAATTCTCCATTAGAAAATTAAACTCATATTTACTCTCTTTTTTCAAAAGTTGCTTATTTTTTAAATCTATGAGTTTATATCTAGATTTTGAAAATGAAATTAATATTTTACTCTCTTTTTCAAGAGTTACTTAATATAGATGAATTTAAAAATATTTATTAACTGTCCTTGAAATTCTGCAGAATCCTACCTCATCAGTATCCGTCATCGATATTTAACTTATTTTGATTTCCACCTCATCAGTATCCGTAATCGATATTTAACTTATTTTGATTTCTGTGCCAGTGGAACAGTAACTAGTTCTATGAGTGAAAAATGAATAATTTTCTAGTTTAAATAGAACATACAAACAGTTGAAGCCATCAACGTTGAAAAAGTGAATGCTCTTCCATGCATATAAAAGTTTAATGGCGATATTTCTTAACTTCCTTCATCTTGATCTATTATAGCAGTTATTACAGATGGTCAATATAAGTTGATTCGTACTCTGATTTGGTTGCGTAATTTTATGGTTAGTTTTACTCTAAATTCAGTTTCAACTCTATTTCTCTGAAGAAAGGTTTTATACTTCTATCTAAAATAACTTCATTTAATTTTTTTGAAAGACATAATTTCTCTCTTAAAGTATTAAATTCGTTACGTGTTTTCTCTAATAAGTTGCTTTTTTGAATTGAAATTTTCAATTGCATAATATGATATCGTATTGCATTATTGTCTTTGGCACCTAAAATACATACTTTTATAACTGTCGTTGAACAGCCGACCCAATTTATGAGCTTATGACTAACAATGATCAACATCAGAAGACAAGGAAACTCCTGGATCACGTATTGAGAGAAATTTGTTTTCGCGGAGAACTAACCCGCACTTGCATTACATGGTGAGGAAAACCACGAAATTCTCCCATGGCTAGCTTGATGGCAAGGGAACTCTAACCCACGATCCGTTTACTATTGCGGATATTTAACGTCAGCACTCTGGTTCATGTGAGTCGTGCGCAGAATTCGTATAGATCAGCAATTATTTGGATTTGAACCTGGGTCTCTTCATTAAGAGGCGAGTGTTCTAATCCCCGAGCAACAGGAACTAACAAAAACCAAATAAAACATTCTTAGAAATACGTAATTAAGTAGAAAAATTGTTTTTATTTATTCTGTTACTAAGTCATAAATAGGAAATTAATTTCTTCATACATTTTAAGGAGGGTTAGTTATCCATCTTTTAAAAAGGAATATGTTTTTTAGCTTTGCATTTTTGCAGTATGCAGCAGCTTAGAAATAGAATTACTGTGATATTTTGTAGTAAGTTTTTCTTTCTATATTTATTAAGTAAATACAGTAGTTCATTAAAGTTTTAATATTTTCCTCTTATTGAAAAAAATAATAATAAACATGAGAAAATCGACTTAATCCTCAAAATACAACATTCACTTATTTGAATTTCATCCCAGTAAATAAAATAATATAAAAAATTATTTTACTTAGAATCAGCTCGAGTTATAGTGACCACCGTCACAATAAGAGACACGATAGAAAAATAAAAGCATTAAACCATTTTAGGTGGAGGTATACATTCGAACCGAGAGGCACACACATGTGAAATGAGAAAAAGTTTTAAAAGAGTTATAAGAAGCAAGCAGATAACAGCTGGAAAATTTATAAGCCATACACTATAAGACATCTCAGTTCAAATTACAGTATAAAGTACTTGCACTTCGAGTGCATTAGACGTAAAATCCATTTTTAACAGTAAAATATAATACCATAAATTTTGCAGTAATATTAATTTAATTAGAGTAATTTAGTGATTTTACAGTAATTACTGTAAAATTATGGTATATTAGATTTTTTGTTCAGTAACATGTACCGGTAAAAATGAATTTCACGGTTAAAAGTACCAGTGATTTTTATCGTAATTGGATCTGGAATTTTTTACAGTGTAGCTGATTTCTGGAAAGTGTAATGTTGTTTTTTCTTGAATATGTGATTAATTTAATTTCTTTTAAATACTGCATTTTGTTTGAATTATTTAGAACATGCCATATATGGGTTGTAATTTTAGAAAACACTTGGAACTTCTGTCCACGTGGAAGGTGATGTAATATTTACCTGTCAGAATTTTGTAAGTCAGATATTAAGCTAAATATATTTATTAGGATTGTAGCACGTATAATGGTTTTAAAGTAAGTTCAGGTTTATTAAGAGTATTAGAATATTTACTATTTAGGAATAAAACTTTGCAAAAATTTTGTTTCATTGATATGTGTAATTCCGTTTTGATACAATTTATAAATTCATTCTACAACTTTAATTGAAAATATTTAAAATTGAAGAATAACGACAGAAATTTTAATAAATATTAAAGCTTATTTCCTTATTCATGATTCTTTTCTTTTTATTTCATTTGTTTCTTCAATTTTTATTTTTTCGTGACTAATCAGCTTTCTTATTAAAACTTTAGGACAAATTAATCAATATACTGCAATCTATGACGAAATAAGATTAAAATAATAGCATTTGTTATAGCTTAATTCATCAATTTTATAGCACTAAGAAAAAACAGCGTTGAAACTTTTAATGTTTAATGAAAATATACGTGTAAAAATATTTTAGTAATTCAAGTTTGTATTCCATATTAGGCTAATAAGTTTTGGGCAAATGCAAACTGTACTTATTATTTTTCCATTTAAATAAATTTTATGCAATAATTTTAAAAAATGAGAAGTGAACTATCTCTTTTAAGGTGGGGACTTTTTTAGTTAAGTGAGAAATCATTGTTATAATTTGTGAAGCATAAAAACCTAATGTATAAGTCTTTTAACTTCTCATTGTATTTTTTTACTAATTTCGACAACAGACTAATAAGTTTGTTGTAGAAATGAGAAATACAGTAAAAACTGGAAGGACAGTTTTCATTTTCACAAAACTGATAAGTTTTGTGGAAATGCAAACTGTAATTCTTAATTTTCTATACAAATAAATTTTATGCAATAACTTTAAAAAAATGAGAAGTGAATTATCTCTTTTAACGTGAGGATTTTTTTAGTAACATGAAGAAGCATTGCTATAATTCGAGAAGCCTAGGAACCTAATGCATAAGTCTTTTAACTTCTCATTGTCTCTTTTTTACTCATTTCTACCACATTTATAATTTCACTTAAACTAAGACAATTTATGTGAGAAACAAGTTCAGCACAACTTTCTTCCTTTTCAAAACCTGTAAAGAATTTTAATAAAAAACTAAATCAGAGAATACGCTTCATGTCCATTTAGAAATAAAATGCTCTCACATTTATATTACATTCTGTCAAATCTGATCAAGAAAGTTGACATCGAGCGGAAAAGAGAAACTTCCGCCATAGAAAACTCTCAATCAATCACAATGCTAGAACTATTCTTTTGTTCGTATTAAAGAAGCGTCAAGATGGTAGTATGTAATGAAATGATACAAGATATCCCCATTTGATTGCTACTGTTTTGTACTAAAGCAGTGATAAACAATAAAGATGATAAAGTGGAGCGATGGAACGGTGAGGCGAAACAAGATTTTCTTTTTAAGACGTAGCTGGCCTGACACCAATATTTTCGAGCATCTTGAAAGAAGCTCTCAAATAATATCGTCCTGTATTTCAAAACAAAGAGCAATTTTCCGCCTCATAGGATGTTTCCGAGTTGTCAGTAGAAACTGATATCAAATCTCGGGGGTTGTCGTAGGCACACACAGGTTAGTAAAGGTGACCGGACCGGATGTCAAAAGACCACTGTGTCATAAAGCTTTGACAATAATCTTCATTTTTTTTTCTTGCGGAGCTGAAGACCTCCTACTAACCTAGATATTCTTCAGTAAAGAATTTTCAGAAAATGGAAATATATATGAAAACGCAAAATAACAATAAATATACTTAGTTATGGATGGCCATTGATTATCGGGATAACATAAAAGAAGTCCTATGACTGAAATTTGCATAAACATTTTTAAAAAAAGCTAGTTCTCGTAATTT